ATCCAGACAGTACAAAGATTGACAGCGAAGAACCATGGTATCCAAAGAATCTAGATGAAGAACCAAATCCTTATGTGGATATTGAGTTTTCGAAACCAGTCAGAATGACAGCTCTACAAATACAAGGAGATGGTCCCAATACTGTCACTGAGATATACATCTTTTACAAAGAACCAAATTCCGAGACCTTAACCAGATGGAATAAATTGGTAACAATTCCAGATGATGAGGATAATTCCATACCAGCGAAGCTTGAACTTCCTGAAGACTTCCCAATTGTTGAAGCCATAAGAGTTGAAATAGTGTCCTATGATGATAATGAGCCAACATTACGAGTGGCGCCATTTGGATGTTTACATGAGGGGACAACAGTATTACCAACGGAAGCTGTGACAGTTCCAGTGAGTGCTACCACTTCTGCTGCACCAGGCACAACAGCATCTGGAGCTCCAACAACAGGACCAGCACCTACAGGGATAGTTACTGTAGCACCACAAAGATCAACCACAGCATCCGCTCCAAGTACAAGAGTAACAGGTGCACCAGTCACTACAATACCGGTAGTACAAACAACCGAAGAAGGTAAAATTGTGTTTCTAACATGTAATGATTTTAGAATTGTACATACAACATTTTTTTTCTTGAAAACAAAACTCTTTTTCAAATTTTATGTTATTCTTCTGATGATGATTGAAACATTTGAATAGATACATCAAGACATTCTTAACAAAAACAACAGTTTTTTAAAGAATTATCTACTTGTATGTGGTGTACTGCAAGCCTTTTATATTTTTTACTTTGCCATGCAAACCTTTAAACAAAATAACTATTGTCATGATTTTTAGTTAACTATGTCAACTCTTTTTCTTCCAGCTTTTAGCAAAATGAACCTACTATAAAACAACAAAATAAGAATCATGTATTTTTTTTAATTTCAGTATGTCAGATGGACCTGGATACTGTTGATGAATTGGAAACAACCAGAACTACTTCTGATAATATTGCCAATCCAGACAGTAC